GGGTAGAGACATGAGTGTTTCCGACAACAGCGGCGCAGATATCGATTGAGAACATAGGGGTTTCACCTAGTAGCCTCCGAAAGGGCATCCCTTGAATCCCACGAGAGTTTCCCAAACTAATGCTCAGGGTTTAGGGTTCAGTGGGGGCTCCTCATAATAAGGATCCTACTATTTAGGGTACTTTATTGGGGTCCCCTATTATCGGAAACTCCTAGATCCCTAAGCCTAATGTAGCATGTCCTTTTGCATCCAACGGCCATAAGACCTGGACCATGAAATCCATGGCGTCTGCGTTTGAGAGGGTCCGAACTCAGGATTGGGCTGGCGGGGCTGGCAGGAACTGGTGATCTTGAAGGCCTCCTGGGTTTGGGAAGGAATTCCGGAGAAGTGTTGCTTGATGTCTGGGACCCAGAGTAGGCCCTTATTCCCTTTTTTAGGGTTTAGGTTCTCTTATAACCCCCTTTAACCCAAAACGGACACTCTTTTTTTCCTAGGATACTCTTGGGTCTAGATGTTTTGCGGTGTTCCGGAAAGCCTTAGTCATGACAGCAGGTTGGAGTCTCTGAAAGCTGTGGGATGAGCGGCCTTCACCCCGCAAACAATGCTTCTAAACCCTAAACCCTAACCAAAAACCTCAAAATTACCCAAAAGCCTTGTATAGTATGGTCTTTGGGCCCCAAATCCTTAAAACATGAGTCCTTAGAGCCTTAGGGTAAACCATGCGAGCCGACTCCAAGCTCCGGGCGTTGAAAAAGCAGCACCGTCGCCAGGAATCCAAAGACACGGTTTTTTCAACGGTCTGGATCCCGGATATCTGGTTATTTCAACGGTCTGGATCCCGGATATCTGGTTTTTTCAACGGTCTGGATCCCGGATATCTGTTTTTTTCAACGGCCTGGATCCCGGATATCTCGGGGTGGGGCTTGGTGAGTTTGGCGTCAGCTTGCAGCGAGCAGAAATTGCAGGGTTCAGGCTGTTCCTCAGACTCCAAACAGCCCGGAGTCAGAGTATGCAATATTTCTACGAGACCCCTGTTTGTCTACTGAAGTCTTTGGGTGTGCTTGAATCGGATGAGGGTTGGGTGTCCGCAGTCAGTTTTACGTCGGAGCTTGCCTCATGTTTTCGAAACCCAATCTGGAACATCCGGCGGGCATGTCGTTTTCCTGATGGTACTGCTGATGGACAAAATCCTGCATTACCCAAAATAAGGAATATACCATAATTCCCATAGTTTAGGGTCCGTAAGGTAATGCAGGAATTTGTCCATCAACAGTAGCGCGCTCTTTTGCACTGCAGAGTCCACTGCAGCCTGCGTTTGATGGGAGAGTCGACGTAGACTTAGGGGTACTTAGAAATAATTTCTAATTTGTTGGTTATTATATTCCCTAAGAAACAGCTAAAATTCTAATTTTTGCTAGGGTTCTAAGTTCAGTATAGTAGAGTTCAACTTAGGGACCCAAAATGGTGTGGGAGCACAAAAACAATGCTCCGCTACCATGTAAAACTTTCAAACTCTGAACAACCCGTCAAGCTCTGCACAGACTTTTGCGCAACAAACGAAGTATTCAGCTGTTCTTGCACTGCACTGCTGTTAACTAAAGCAAAACTTCGCTTCAAAAGCATGCCGTCACAGCTTTGAGAAAACCTCTGCAACACACCATGCAGAATATCCAGATAACCATTGCACCTCAGAAAATTCCAGGAATCGCAGCCACCACTCAACAAGCCTCAGGCACACTTTTCACACACAATCGATCGTCCACATTGGAGCTGATTCAAAATCAAAAAGGGTGTTGAGCCTCGGACCAAACGAAAAATCGACACCTCCACGATTGTGGATCCGAGCGAGCTCCATCGATCTTTCCTTTTTGGTTCGAGGCTGTAGACTCACGCTTTCGATTTTGAATAAGCGTGCAGCGATCGATTGTGGGGCGTAGACTCCGCGAAACAAGAGAGCGCGAGATTTTGCTGCGGTGGGAGTTGCAGATCACATCCCTCTTTGTCAAGGGGACCATTCTTAATCTTCGAAGCAAACAAGGCAATCAGTTTTGTTCATTCGCATTTTCAATGCTGATCGAATTTCGCCGCTTTGACTCGAGTCAAAGAAATCCAACCAGACTTTCTACAGAGAGCTTCTTCTTAGAAGCACACCGAAAGATTAGACCTGAATTGCGGAGATTATTTTTGAGCTCTGGCAGGACGCCGGCAGTATGCCCGTGGGTGTGGCCCACATAGGTTGCCAGTGAAGAAGCATAGAAGCATAAGCACTTTAGGGGGATATCCCTACCAAATTGGGCTGCATTATAAGGGGGCTTTATGTGGGATATCCCTATTTTTGTTTTGCTTATGTGCTTGTTTGGGGCCCTTATCAACATGAAGGGAACGTAGCCAAGACCCTTGATGAAGAATCCCCGGCCTCTACGTTCGGGCATGGCTGCGATGCATGCCTGCATCTGACCCCTGACTGCCTAGGCTACAATGCTTGGATCTGCGCATCTGTTTGCAACAATGCCTTCGGAGGCAGGGTCTTGTCCGAGTACGTACTTGTGACTTTCACTCTTCGAACAATAAGCAGACATACTAAGCTTTACCGCACTCCCACAAACCTGAAACGCAAGACCCTAACAGGCCGCAACATGTAGCCATCAACTCCAAGATTTTCAGCTTGGCCTCACATGCCGTTTGGGGTCTCAGGATTTCCGGCCTTACGGTCGAGACTAGACGTTCTGTTCATGAGCTCTGCTTGAGACCTAGCTGTGGCTCTGCACTTGCAGATCTAAACTCTGAGTCCTACAGGCAAGACGTGCTGATGCTACATCTTCACCTTAGGATTTAGGGCTTGGGGTATAGGGAATTTGGTCTAAGATGGTGGTTCCCATCATAAGAATATGAAGGTGCTCTAATTCAGAAGGGACTGTGTTGTAAGAAGGTCCCGGGCTAGCTGAACCTTGGGGACCAAATGACCCTTATAAGCAGGGGCACTATACCCTTATGCTATGATTCCCGTATATGAACCTTAAACCCTTTTGAGGTTCACTTCGTCTTTAAGGAAAATACCCAGCCCGGCAGGATGGCATGTCGGAGGGAGCCGAATACACCCAGCCTCGTTCAACAAACCCTCAGGGTCCATGTACTCAAATAGTATATACATTGGCCCCAAAGTATCTAAATAGGGACTACTTTGAGGCCAGTGTATAGATTATTTGGGTGCATGGACCCTTCGGGAAAGCTCAAGCATCATGCGATTGAAGCCCTCTTTGGATGCACCGTCCGTGGTTTTCTCGAGTATTCTGCGACAATGGGAGAACTGCACTATACCCTCCGACACCCCTTGATCGCGCATGACTCTTCAACACCTGCTGCAGGTCTGCTGATTGCCGTGCCTTGGCTTCAGTCCTGTTTTCACAGGGTCTTAAATGCACTTACACGAGAGTCGGCAATGTGTGTTACTTTAAAGGTGCTCAACTGCTGTATGCTTCTCCTTTGTGCACAACGCATGTGTGCAAATGTATCACATGATCATACATGGACATATGCCGAGCAGGGAAGCGGCGCATGATGTTGCGTCAGCTCTTGACCACCACGACTCCTTTCAAGGACAATTCTGTCACTAAGGCCCTAAACCCTAAACAAGGCTGTCATTAAGTACGCGGACAACATCCTCAAGAACTTCGCGACCTCGGTGTCCATCGTGGGTGGCCCGGGTAACGGGGACCAGCACAAGCCCAAACCTCTGGAGGACTGGGACTTGTACTTAAAGAGGCGTTTCAAGTGTCCTGAACTACCCTAAACCCTCAACCCCGAGCCCTCAACCAATCACCCTAAAGCCCAACCCTAATGAGGTTATCCTGCTTGCTTAGTCCCTTATCCTTAAGTCCACACTCCCAAAAAATGAAAGCCCCCATGAAATGCACAAGTGAAAGTGAAAATTAGTCGTACTATCCTTCCGAATTCCGGGGCTGAAGTGAGCCCGGCTGTTTCTCCAAAAGCATCCCCTGAGCAAGACGTTCAGTTTAGCACGAGTTGCCCTGAACCCCTCACTTTTTTCGCCGAGCCCGAAGCAGTAGAACCTGACCCTCAACCCTGAAGCACAGTCCATATGCTTGATGGCCTAGCAAGAGCTCCAAGCCGTAGACACGAATCCCTTGCACCATAAAGCCAACACTTAATAAGCTTTAAATCCTAATCCTTCAACTCTGCACCTAAGGCACTGTAAACCTGTAGGCTTTCAAGTCCCCTCCATAGGCCCTTCTCATCCCACTTCCTGGCGCCCGCAGTTTCGGGTTGTGCAGCGTGGAGTATAAGCTGTTAGGGAGATGGACGTTTTTAAACCCTATAAAGCCTTATTCATTAACGCTGAACCCAAGCACGAAATTCGTTCAGGAGGTAACCCGGCAAGAGTTGTAGCTCCATGCTGTAGTTATCCTGGCTGCAAGCACCCTCATCTTCAAGCAGAACAAACTGCTGCTGAGGGTCCATGTGCCTATAGAGTATGTACCTTGGCCTTATGTAGTCCTCCCAGAAAGTAAGTTCCTTAAGGACGAATGAAATGAACCTCAAAAGGGTTTAAGGTTCATATACTATGTCGTAGAGAATCATAGCATAAGGGTATAGGGCCCCTACTTATAAGGGTCAGTTGGTCCCCAAGGTTCAGGACCAATGTACGAACTGTTTAGGTACATGACATGAACTTCTATTTGCACTCCCCCATGCTAAGAAGGAAGGGGACATGAGTCCCATGAGTAGACAACTGCCAATTCAGAGCAGTATTTGGGCTTCCATGTTTACTTAGCCGCTGTGGTAACAGTCTTGTAATAGTAGTATCAATATGCAAAGTACGAACACAATGCTATAAACTTTAAACCTGAAACGCCAAAACGCATGAAGCCTAAAACCTGCGCTCTAAACTCCTAAGCCATCCTAAAACACCATATTAGTTCTGTGCGGTCCGCTGCCGTTTTGCATCAAAGCGAGGATGACCTCAGTAGGTTAAGCTTCACATGAAGGAAGCCGGCACCCAGGACAGACGGGGAGTTTTGCTTGGTACTCGCCGTGCGAGTCACTATAACGACGGTGCCACGCTTTACCCTGAACCCCACTCTCTACACTAACCCTCTTCTACTCTCGAGACCCGAAGCACTAGATCAACAGTGTTATGCAGCTTCGGGCACACCCGACGGTGAATTCCACCTGCCCCGATAAACAGCCAGCCTGTATTTCCCGAAACATCTAACGAAGGGGCGGGGATACTTCCTAAAACATCCTTAGGTGTCTAAGTGCTACTGTACAAGTAGAGAATATTCTACCTGGAAACGCTCTTCGAATTGTTAAGGCCGCTATCAAGATACTGACCTCAACCCTTAGATGCATCCGTTTGAGCTTCTGCTTTGGCGTGTCAGGGTGCACCTGGACCAATAAATCCACACTACATTTATATGCACTAATCGTAGTTTTTTTAGGGGGAGCCTATAAGCCCTAAACCCCCTTAATTTCCTTCCTACCTCATTCCCTCCTTATTATGGAAGATGGGTTTCCAAGAAGGCGGTATTACAATCCTGGGTCCAGGAAAGCTCGGACACGCCCGTCCCGAAAAGCCGCAGTCCTCAACCTGCTTCGGGTTAAGGGTCTGGGGTTGAGGGTTTAGGGGTTTCGGGTTTAGGGGTTAGGGGTTTAGGGTTTAGGGTTTAGGGTCTAGAGAAGTCGGAAGAATGGCTAGTAGTACTCCCTTATCGTTCCCTTATATTTCGGCGATCATATACCCCAACCCTATTCCAACTACCAGTACAAAGGATCCCCACCCACAGTACCCCGAATTTCCATTTTTGCAAAGCACAAGAATTTTGTAGCAGACTTCCGGAAAGAGATTTGGGGAAGCAGGCGCGATGGCCAGAAACGGTTCACCTGCTGTCCACAGAGCCTGCTGTACGTAATATCGAATGCAGAATATTCTTAGTTAGTCAGTACTACAACTCCTGAGGGCCTCGAGAAAACCCTTGTCCCTAAACCTGTTTTCTGATGACTAATGCCCTTACATTCTGAGCATCCTTCTTGTGGTCAGTCAGTCAGTTCATTCTGTCCTTCGGAGGTCCATAACCTATCACTCTGTGAGGTTTACCTGTGGCCCAAAAAAGCCTACCTTTTTCAGGAACTGTTTATTATTATGGAAATCGTAATAAGGAAGCAAAAGGTAGGTCTTTTCGGCTTGTGGTAGGTTTCACAAGACCAAATACAGCCTAGGATCTCCAGTAGTACCCTTATTCCCTTTTTGTAGTCCTAGGTTCCTTATAAAGTTACCCAATACCAAAAAGAGAGGCCTTTTTATTCTTAGGTTACTGGGTATCCTAGAATATGATTATCCTAACCCTTCTATGGCAAATTATAGGGTATCCTACCATGAAAGCCAAATACAGCTGGACCCCGAGCCCTTCAGCTCCTAAGGCCCCTAACCCCAAAGACGAAAGCTAACCTACACGTCTCCGAAAACCCTGAAACCTCAAACCCGGGAAGCCCCAAACCCCAAACCCTAAAACCGCTATACCCCAAACCCTAAACCGTGAAAGCCCGAACTAAGACGAAGGCTCCTCTAAAACAAGCATGAGAAGTACTCCCTAAAGCCCTAAACCCCTGAAGCCTAAACCTTAAACCCTAAAGCCCTAAATCTAAGTACTAAATACGATGGCTACATTCATCATCGACTTGCAAGGACGGCAGCAGACAGGACGGTGATTCTTCCGATTCCTCCGCTGTCGCGGAGAAGCTGCGCCTTGGGTCTGTCTGTTTGGGCTTAAGGTAAAAGCCAGAAAGTTGGAGTATGATTATCCTAACCCTCCTATGGTAAATTATAGGGTATCCTACCCTGAAACCATATTCCAACTTTCTGGAGTTCCCTTTAGGGGTTTTGGGTTTGGAGTTTAGAGGTTTTGGGTTCAGGGTGTTGGGTTCAAGGGCCTAGGGTTTGGTGTTAGGAGGCTTTGGGTTTAGGGGTTTAAGGGTTAAGGGTTTTGGGTTCAAGGGTTTAGCGTTTTGGGTTTGGAGGTTTCGGGGTTTAGAGGTTCTGTGTTTAGGGCTTGAGGCTTTGGTTTAGAGGTTTAGGGTCTCGAGGTTTGGATTTTTGTTTTGGGGTTTAGGGGTTTACGGTCTCGAGGTCTAGGTTTTTGTTTTGGGGTTTAGGGGTTTAGGGTCTCGAGGTTTAGGTTGTTGTTTTGGGGTTTAGGGGTTTATAGGGTCTACCCAGAGGCTCCATAGTAGTTCCTTTTTGGGTTTCATATATAGAATCCTATAAAGGAACTACTATGGAGCCTCTGGGTAGGGGTTTAGGTTTTAGGTTTGGGGTTTGAAGGCTGGGGGTTGCAGGTCTAGGGCAGGTTCGACCTCCAGTACCCGAAATTGAAGCCCTGAGCTCCGGCAGCACGAGACCGGGAATGCCCCGAACTTGGTATAGACCCGGAAATCCTAAACGTCCTTAAAAAAACGGGCCTAAATAATTACCTATACTATTTTGGGGTTCCTTATTACAATTATAGTATAATGGGCCCCACAACCCTATTCTAATTATGAAGGCCCCTATATTAATCCAATGACTTTTCTGATTGCGCATGAAGAGCTTGTTTCCCTGTAGCCGCTAAGCCCTAAACCCAAGGGCGATTGAACATGCTGTTGTTAACGTCGCAACGATCTATCGTCCAAACCGAAGACCCTCCCAGCACCTTGACAAAGATGCATGAGTTGGTTTTGATAGTGTTCACCGGCATGCTAGACCCAGCACCCTGACATAGATGCATGATTAGTGTTCCCTGGAGTGCTTGGTTACAATATATGTTTTAGTCGGTGCCCCCAACCCCTCCACTCAAAAAAAGATATAGCCTCAGTTGTGCGGGTAGGACCCGTTAAGGTTCCACAAATCTTACGTCACCCTTATGAGAACGCCCGTATAAAGGACTCTAATTTCGCCAACTACCCATGTGTCGAAGGTTTCTTGCCTTGAGTCTCGAGGCAGACGGTCTTTGCATCGGTCCTGAGCAGCAGTAGCGGCAGCCAGCGTGGCACGCATGCTGAAGCTTCCGACAAGCAGAAGCAGAAGAAGGCACATTGCTTATAGGGTTTTGCATGGACTTGCGAAGAGTGTCCAAGGCTTTGCGGCTTGACGGTTGGGGGTTTGCAGTGTGTTCAGTGGAAGCTTCCCCATTCGAAAGCATAAGCTTTGCACAGGCACTGCACTGATGAGCAGGATCGCACTCTTCACTTGCGACATGAAGTTTTTATGCCTCTGCACCCCAAGCTCAAATCACGTCCTTGTCCCCAAGTGTGTGATCGCGAGCCCCGAAAACTCGTGCAAATCCGGAGGATTCCGGATCCAGCTCTGGATCAGTTGACGTGCCGAAGGGGCCTTGCCTCAGCGCTTCTTGGCACAGGTAAGTTTTCAATCGCTTTCGAAGAGTGGGGTGAAGCTAGATGGGATAATCCCGCATGAGAGTCCTCATATGGGAGTTTCCGAAATTAGGGGGTACCTTCTTTTGGGGTCCTTATAATCAGGATCCTACTAATTAGGGTACTAAATTAGGATCCCCTATTTTCGGAAGCTCCCATATAGGGGATCCCTCAACCTACCTACCTTCATCCCCGGTTCTTTTGAGGCCTCCGAGATTTAGAGCTTCGGAAAAGAAAGTTTCAACCTGCTCCCTTAACTGGGTTTAGGGTAACCTGCTCTTCCTGTACAGTCTTCCCTTAACCTGCTCTTCCTGTAAAGGGGACTCCAGAAAGTTGGAATATGGTTTAGTGGCAGGATCCCCTATAATTTACCTTAAAGGGATTACGATAATGATATTCCAACTTTCTGGCTTCTACTGTACAGTCTGAGTTGAATTTACAGGCAGCTTGCAAAGAAGTGGCTGATTTTGGCAATTTTGGCAGCGCTTGAGGTAAGTGTTCGTGCCCAGGGAGATAGGCTCATGTTGCGGGTTCAGGATTGGGCCGCTGATTGTTGTTGTTATTACCTCGTGTTTGCTGGCTTTGTAGGTTGTACTCCTGTTATCAGAAGATATGTGTCCATGTACTAGATGCGTATGAGGCTTTCAATACGTACTTGAAGTCATACCGTATCATAGTCCCTGGTGAATTATACGATCATGTTCCCCAGTGCCTTATTCGCAACAACCAGGCGCCAATATTAGCCCACCAAGTGGCAAAGTTCTTACCTCAACTGAAGAGCTCGGGTAAGACATTTTGGAGTTGTTGCACATCTGTAAGGGTCCATGTACCAACGCTGCACGCTCACTCTCTGCCATTTATATTGATTTTTAATGTGGACACGTATTTATCTGTGTATTGATATATTTGCGCCTAGACAGTGGCCCTAAAGCCAAAATGGGGGAACCCCCTAAACATTTTTGAAGCTCCCAATCAGAGTTGAGTATTTCAGCACTCAAGATCTCAAGCGCGTTTCAAACACCACCAGCGAGACTTTAGTCTTGGGGACCTAAAGCCCCACCATGTAGGTATTTCGACCCCGCAGCATTGTATGTAAAGCCTGCAATCCTAATTCCCTATTGTTCGCAACCCTATTGGGCGATCTTTCCCTGAACCCTAAACCCCTAAACCCCAAACCCTAAACCCTAAACCCTGTTGCCTGCCCAAATGGGCTTTTGAGACGCTTCATGCTGATCGAAAAGGGGCCCTTAAAAAAAAAAAAAAAACTAAACTCTAAACCAGAGGCGAGCAACCCAAGCTCAGCTGATATCTCCGAGGAGCTCTGATCGTTGCGTGCTTTGTAAGGCTCCATGTGCCCACATAGCATGTCATACAGGGGCCTAAATAACTACCAATACTATTTTGGGGGGTTCCTCATTATCATTACAGTATAACCCTTATTCTAATGATTCTAATTGTCAAGGCCCCCATATGACTTAGTCCAGGAACGGGTGCCTATAAAGGTACTTGAGGGCCTAAGTATGCTGAATAGGCACATGGAGCCTCAGGGTGAATGTTTCGCTGAAGGAGTCTAGTAGGACGAGGTAGGCCTTTGGGACATTTTATATTTCCCCTTATTGGGCTTGATAGGACCCTACTTACGAACTTTTTTCAGAGGCTTTAAAGGGCCAACGTGGAGGAGGATCTATGGTTCCTAGAGATCGAAATAGCCCAAAAGCCTTATATAGTATGGTCTTTGGGCCCAAAAGACTTACAATTATGAGTCCTTAGATCCCTAGGGTTAAGTGATCTGTAAGGGTTTTGTTTAAGGGTTCGTTGCGGACTGTTTAAGGGCTTGGTTTCAGGACAGCTTTAAAGCTCTTGCTACGGGTGTCATACAGGCGCCTGCTTAATCGCAGCGGATTTCTTATCAGCGCCTGTAATTACACCTAGACCCCCACACCTACCTTCTTTTGTACCCCCAATACCCACTATTAACAACCGTAATGCGACCATCCTGCCAATTAGAGGTCTTTGCTGGACTCTAAGCCCTCCCAATTTGATACTTCATGCCTTAAGGACGAAATGCACCTCTAAAAGGTTTAAGGTTCATATACTATGTAGGGAATCATAGCATAAGGGTATAGGGCCCCTACTTATAAGGGTCATTTGGTCCCCAAGGTTTGATACTTCATGTTGGTATTTTCGGTTTGATGCAACGGTTTGCCAGGCCCCTGAAAAATTCAGCAACTGGAACCCGCAAGCAGGATACCAGCAAATGAGTTGAGGTAGGGCCTTTCTCGAAGATTTGTGTGTTCCTATATACTTCCTGAATTCTAAATCCATTTGGACATGGGACTTATGGTCGACATTAAACTACTGTCGGGGTTTAGAAGAAAACCATCCAAGTAAGACCTAAACCCCAAATCCTCAAACCTCGAACCTAAATCAGGGCCTGAAAGGCAACCCGGATTTGCCTGCAAGGTGGCTATGAGGGATTCTAGGGTCTGGGGTTCAGGGTTTAGGGGTTTAGCATGTGGTTTGGGTTTAGGGCTTCGGGTTCCCCTACAGCCCTGAATCCCAGACCCGAATGAATGTGACGGTCTGAAATTAGTTGATAAAGATGTCATGTTTTTTTTTACACTGACCAAGAAGGCCGTTCGGCGCTACATGGGACCCCATCGAGCCCTGAATACTCAAGCTTCAACAACTGTTTAAGTCTTTGCCGTCCACCCATGGGTAGCCTGCTGCTTCATGAGCCCCCTTTCTTTATCCAAGCACCTTACGATTACCCACCCGTCCTTACCGCACATCCCCGGAACGCCTCGCTCCCCCGACGCCGGGAGCCAGAAGACTACAAGCGACCAGCTTGAAGCGCTGAGGCCAAAATCTAAAGCCTTAAACACCACGTCCCAAGCCATAGAAACAAAAGCCTTGAACGCTAAACCCTATAGAAGCCTTCGAAGACCCTGTAAAACCCCGATGGACTCCCGGTAGCATCCTGGAAAGAAACCTACTATAGAAGCCTAAGATACTTACTTAATGTTATGTTATTCCTTATTTGGGTTCCTTATATTATAAAAACTAACCCCAAACCCTTTTCTAATCATTAAGGCCCCTACAGTTAAAGAAAAAAGCCTGCAGGAACAGGGTTCGGCGGGCTCTGACACGTCCGGTGACAACGTTAGAGCCCCATGGCTCACAGTCTCGGGAAAGCAGAGGAAGGGGGTTAGAGGACCTCTCTGTGTGTGTGTGTGTGTGTGTGTGTGTGTGTGTGTGTGCATACGTCTCTACCTAATATACGCACATCGGTGTGTGTGTGTGTGTGATATATATCTACTTACACAGTGTACATATGGAGAGCGAGAGACAGAGAGAGTGAGAGAGAGAGAGAGAGAGACATATATATATATATACACGCATACAAAAACAGACTTACACATAGAGGGAGAGAGAGCCCGAGGGACAGAGAGAGCGGGAGAGAGAGAGAGAGAGAGAGACAGTGAGTGAGCGGTCGGGCATCAAGATGTGTGCATATCTCTGTGTATGTAAAGGTATGAACACCTGTGTAGAATGTGCATGGTTTGGAGCTTCAATCATTGAGGTTCATGTAAGACACTGGGTAGACGGTTTTAGGATATGGAGTTTCGGGTGTAGGATTAGCGTTTAGGCTGTAGGGCATTGAGATTTTGGCAATGGGCTGAGGTGTTCGGGATCCTTTGCTCCGGTGTTGTGTGGGCAGAAATTACGCAGTGGGCGGTTCCTTACAATCGGGTCGCCTTGGTTCCAATTCCCAGTGTTGTCGCATACTTCTGCGAGCACGATAAGGGGTCATTGGAAAGAGTACAGCAGAAATACATCTGAGTGAATATACGGGCAGATGCATCAAGACTGAAGAAAGCTGCAGGTAGATACACGCAACCTCCTTGAGCACAGTTCTACTGGAATGCTCAATTTGAGAATGTGTAGCTAGGGCTACTTGCATCCGTTTTGTATAATCATGGTAATTAATTCAACAACATTTGGGCAAGCATATGATTCTCAGATACTTGGACCTACCTAGGGCGAGTTGGCTCCAGGATTTAGGGTCTAGGCTGCGCGGTACAGCGGCTACATTAAAGTCCGTTCTTTAAGAGCTTACGCAGTGCGAAGAATCCTCCTCATCCAAAACAGATGACAGGTTTCACGGTCTATACCGCAAACCAATGTATCAAAGACGCCCTTTGTGCAGCCATTCCCGCATCCTGTGCCGAGGCCAAAAGAAACGGTTATCCTGGGCCGTTGTCTGATTCGTCGTCGCCTTCAACAATCGGACACAAGACTCTTGCCCGCATTAGAGGCCTCCATACCGGCCCTACATCCCAAACCCCTACTCGGACCCGGAGTAGGCCTTGATTCCCCTTTTTTGGCGGTTCAGGTTCGCTTATAAGCCCCTTTAAACCAAAAAGGGGCACCCTTTCTATTCCTAGGCTACTCTTGGGTTTAGCCTATAAGCCCCAAACTACCTCTGAATTGGGCTCAGCAATCCTAAGGTCCCAACTACTCAATAGTGGTAAACTCCCCAAACTACCAACCAAGCCAAGATACTTGGAGGCCCTTTTGACTTAGTAAGTCTACTTAGTATCCCCTAGAAACCCCATTAGAATCCCCCATAACCCACCTTACTAACCCTACTTACTAAGTCAAAAGGGCCTCCAAGTACTATCCTCAAGCCAAGAACCCTAATCTGAGGCGCCCTTTGGCACTTTGGATTTCGCTATGGGTTTTGGGTCTTTGGGGTTTGGGACGTTGGGGGGTTGAAGGGCCTGTGGGGTTGATAGTTTAGGGTTTAGGGTTTAGGGTTTAGGGGTTTAGGGTTTAGGGTTTAGGGGTTTAGGGGTTTAGGGGTTTAGGGGTTTAGGGTTGAGGTTGGAGGTTTTAGGTTTCGGAGTTTCAGGGTTTCGGAGGTGGAGGGCTTGTTGTTTGAGGGGTTTGGCATTTAGGGCCGCGGGGTTAAAGGTGTGGGAAGACCCGTAAGCCACCAAGCTCAGCAAGCAACCGTGGGCGTAAAATGTAGGGGCATGAATGAATGATTAGAATAGGCTTTTTGGGGTTCCTTCCTACAATTGCAGTATAATATACCCCAAAACCCTGTTCCAGTCATTAAAGGGAACTCCAGAAAGTTGGAATATGGATTAATGGTAGGATTCCCTATACTTTACCTTAAAGGGGTTACGATAATGATATTCCAACTTTCTGGCTTCTACTGTAAGGCCCCTGCCTTAAACTCCAAAAAGGAACCCTCAAAGGGAACCCCGAGCCTTGAGGGCCCCTTGCCGCACTGAGGTTGGGACCGGATGGCAAGTGCAATCCCTGTGCCCGGGACCATTTTGAGAGCTTCCCAAGGTTAGTTGTTTAGGGTTTAGGGGGTACCTTATTTTTGGAGTCCTTATAGTAAGGATCCTAGTAATTAGGGTATTATATTAGGATCCTAGTATTTAGGGTGCCGTCTTAGGATCTCCTGTTTTTGGAAGCACCCATTTTGAGAGCAGCTTTGTTGGTTGAATAAACTGTCTACCATAGTGCACTTGTTAGGAGGAGCACAGCTCACTCTGTGTCTCGGTTTTGAATAGGATTCCTAAGAACACAAGCAGAATCCTCCTAGACCCTCCATCTACCCTCTATTAAACCCCAAATACCCATAATTTGGGGCGAAAAGCCCCTCTTTGAGGGTACGAGGAGGGTCCTGGCTGGTAGTAAATCGATATCGTCTTGTAGGAGGAAAAGAAGCATGTAATTTCACTCGAAACCCTAAACCTCCATGAAGCCCCAAGGTGTCTTCAACCTGTCCAAGCGTGGATGTCGCCAAGGGGCTGACTGTGAGTACTGCCGCTTGGGGAGCAGTTTCTTTCATGGCTTCGCGTGAGGGTTCCAGGGAGTTCTACGAAGTTTCATATACAAGGGCTTGAGGCTACACCCTATAAACCCTAAACCCCTAGACCCCCATACCCCGAACCCCTAAACCCTAAAGTCTAAACCGGCATCACGTATTTGGTGTCGTCATGGTTTCCAGGCTCTGAGGTCTTGGGGCTTACTGGTTTTAGGGTGTTCGGGTTTTAGGAGTTTAGGTGGGACAAACCATGGTTCACGCACTCGGAAGTGGAGGGAAGGTGTAGGGGGTGGGGTCTGTCTTTCAGGGTGGATTCGGGTTGTAAGGCTCCTGAGACGAGTGTGTTTTGAGCAATAGAAGTGTCCGGAATTGTTTGTGACATTTCCTCTTCGATGGTTCTCTGTTGCCCTCTGGCGAGCCGCAACCTTGAAACCATACAGAGCCCTAAGACCTTATGCTTTACGAGTCGTTAAGCTCCATGTGCGGCTTGGCAATGCCTTGTTGAGGGTTTCGTGTCCTTCTGTTGATGATATAAATCCTGCATGACCCATAATAATGAGGAATATTTCATAATTCCCATATATTCCTTGTTATGGGTAATGCAGGATTTATATCATCAACCGTTGCGTTACTCTTCGCTTCTGTGGTCGTCACCACCGCCACCTTCAATCACCGCATCAGCAGAGGCTCTATCGTCGCGGCAAAGATGGGAGTTTCCGAAAAAAGGGGGGCCCAAATATAGTACCCAAAAAATAGGATCCTTATGATCAGGACTCCAAAATAAGGTACCCCTAAGTCTCGGAAACTCCCATATCTCCCAATTCGACAGATCACTTGCCTATCGTCGGGAACCCTGAATCCTAAACCAGGCAGGGCCTTCCAACTAACCGACAGGGCAGGAGGAAAAGAGGGTTCAACAAAAATAAATAAAACAGGATGGGGCGCAACTCGGGAGCAACAATAAGGAGCAGCTTCACCTTACTACTCGCAGCGTTGTGCTGCAGGGCTAAGACTTAAGAGTGTTCTAACGGGGTCTGATAATATTCAGCAATAGACTTTGTAGCACTTACACAACTATAGTACGATGTTTGCTAAACCCTTCTGGTATCCGCTTTTTCGAGCCCCTCAAAATAGAAAAAAACAGCTCTCGAGCCACCCAGGGCTCGGAGCGCGAATCCTGAGCTCATAGCCTTATATAATTACATCTCGAAGGCAGTGAACCGGAAAACCCTCAACCCTTCATCAATGGAGCCCTAAATCCTATAGTATAAAGCCTAAACCCATAAACTTAAACCCCGAACCCTGAACCATCCTAAACCCTAAACCCTAAACCCCAAACTCCGAATCCAGAGCGTTCGGACTCCCCGTCTGTGTCTGACTTGCTAGGGTTTCGGGGTTTTAGGGAGTGCAGAAGACAACCTTACTTACCTTTGGTTAGTAGGGAATGGAGGAATGGGGTACAACTATAACTACTATTACTCCCATTCTTCCACTAACCAAAGGTAAGCTTAAAGTTTCCTCCAGCCTGACCCTCTCCACGGCCCTGAGTCATTCAACTCGGGACCCCTGAGCCAAAGCCTCTTGGCTAAAGCCCTGAAGCCCTGAAACCCTAAAGCTTAAAGCTTAAAGTCCTAAAGCCTAACAGCCTTAAAGCCCCCCAAAAATCATCCCAAAAAATCCCAAAAAGCTTAAACCCCCCAAAACCCTAAACCCAAAAAACCCTAAACCCAAAATCCCCTAAGAACCCCCGCGTTTCGGAGCTCAGGCCATGCGCACATGGCGACGGAGGCTCGGATACCACACCGGCCCCGGAAAGAAACCCGGCTAAAGGCCTGGACCTAGGGTTCAGGGTTTAGGGTTTAGGGTTTAGGTTTTAGGGTTCAGGGTTTATAGGGTTTAGGGTTTAGGTTTTAGGGTTTAGGGTTCAGGGAAGTTCAGGGTTTAGTGTTTAGGGTTCAGGGTTCAGGGTTTAGGGTTTAGGGTTCAGGGTTCAGGGTTCAGGGTTTAGGGTTTAGGGTTCAGGGTTTAGGGTTTAGGGTTCAGGGTTTAGGGTTTAGGGTTTGGACCTGGGCCTTTATTAGGGTTCCTTCTATGAATCCTATTGTTTTGGGGTTAGAGGGTTTCTTCATGAAGCTTACATAGGGACCCAGGGTTTACCTATAGTCTCCATTGTAGTTCCTTTTTTTGGTTATCCAGTTTTATGGTTAGGACCCTATAATAGAGATCTTGGTTAACCAAAAAAAGGAACTACAATGGAGACTATAGCTAGGGTTTACGGTTGAGTGTTGAGGGCTGGTGTAAGTTGGGGTGCTGATAGGGGTGCTTTAGGACCTTAGGAATGACATCGGCAGGATATTTAGGGTTTAGGGTCCCAAGGGCCAAAATATCCATTAATTAAGGACTATTCCTTGAATAATAGTAGGGTCTCTAAGATGATTTAAGGAATATTCCGTAATTAATCAAGGGATATTGGAGTCTTTGGGTTTAGGGATTTAGTGTTCAGGGTTTGGGGTTCAGGGTTTAGGGTTTAGGGTAGGGCTGGTGTAAGTTAGGGTGCTTGTTGGGATTCCTTAAGTGACTTCGGCAGGATGTTTAAACCTAGGGATTGTGGGGTTTGGCATATTGCCAGGCCAAGCGCAACCTGGACCAAGCTCTGGCACAGAACCAGGCCCATAGGGTTTACGGTTTAGGGGTCAAGGTTTACCCTATATTCTCCTTAGGAATTCTATTTATTTGTGTCCATACAAAACCCAGAGAATATTCAAAACTATTACTGTTATTCTGGTTGTAAGGGGGTATAGTACCGATAGGGATAGGGTTTAGGGTGGTTCTGGGTTCAAGGTTTTGACTTACGAGTCTATCTATAGATTCCCTCGTAGTTCAGTTCTTTCAGATCCAAAGGTAACCCCAAAGCCTACTTGGCCAATGGGATAACTCTAAACTTGTTGGCCTCATGTACTTGGTTTGTGATAGCAAGTTTGAACTTTTGTTGGGCCCGGTTCTTGGAGAAGAGAGAAAAAGGAACTGCTTCACTGGGTTCTCCTTTAGGAACTTAATTTAAGCTGCCATGATAAATTGTGAAGAAACCATATTATTTACTATAGATCCCTTTCTGGGTAACTTCAAATTAAATCCGTAACAGGAACCCTGTTTTGGTGTACCAGATCGCGGTATGCCCTTTATTCTTGTTCAAGTCCTGAATCCTATATAGTCTTAAATCTGAAATGCAAAATCCGAAGCCCGTCAACCCTGAACCCTGCACGTTAATCCCAGCTTTCTGAATCAAGGCTCAGTAGTGAGTAGTGTGCTGTTTCTTCCCGACCATACTAAGCTTGAGACTGTGGGTTCTATGTTGGGGTTCCTCCAGGAGGGACCCTAAACCCTAAACCCTAAACCCTAAAACCTAAACCCTAAACCCTAAACCCTAAACCCTAAAACCTAAAACCTAAACCCTAAACCCTAAACCCTAAACCCTAAACCCTAAAACCTAAACCCCCAGCATTAAACAGGCTTTCAGGCTTCCTTTACGAGAGGTCTGAGGGTTGCGGGCTGGATGACTGCGGTTTCAAATCTGTTTGAGGATGGTTTAAGGGGAAGGCCGTTCAGGATTTAGGGTTCGAGGTTTAGGGTGGTAGGGCTTAGAGTCCAGGGGAATGCTTGAGGTTCAAACGGGAAGTTAGCGCTAGGTGTTCAAGTCTGGCGGGTCTGCTCGAAAGGCACATGCATTGCAAGACTTGTTATTCTGCCGCAAACCATATGCTCGCCCGAAAGCGCAAATACCGGTAGTAGAACCTTCTCGGATGTTAAGTACAAAGCCGTTCAGATGTGATCAAGGTTGATTTTTGCAACATGTGGCACATTTAATATACGGTATCATATACAACACTCCATATGGATGATATAGTATCGAACAGACAGCTGAACCTGCAACACGAAAGACCTACAATTCTTGGGCTCCTTGTTAACAAATAAATACATACAAATGAATAAATTTATATATATATATATATATATATATATACCGATGGTGACCCCCCCCCCCCCGCTTTACATACCATTTGCTTGCTTTCACCACATTGGCCAGGGGAGCTGATGGCCCTCGGATGTAAGACGGAACGACGTAGATGAGTTGTGCAGCCTGTGAAGTCCGACTTGTGACTCCCTTAACCCCAAGTAACCACCCTTTTAAGGACTTATATAAAGGGTTCCTTTAAGGGATCTATCTATACATATATATAGGGTTTAGGGTTAAGGGGAGTCTACCTATAGTCTCCATTGTAGTTCCTTTTGTTTGTTATCCAGTTATATGGTTAGGACCCTATAATAGAGATCTTGGTTAACCCAAAAAAAGGAACTACAATGGAGACTATAGGTAGCGACTAGATGAGACATGGGTGAGGCGAACGCACAGAAAAGCGTATTTATAGAGGCTGAGGCCAATGCCTGTGCGCATGAAGTTCTGCGAACACACACACACACACACACACACACACACACACACCCACACCCACACACACACACACACACACACACACACACACACACACACCCACACACACACACTCACACTCACTCACTCACTCACGCACACGCACACGCACACGCGCACGCGCACGCACACGCACACTCACACGCACCGGTGGTATAACACCCCAAACGGGCAGCTACATCGGGGGGTGTAGCGTACATATATATATATATATATATATATATATAGTATGTATATGTATACACATGGACCTATATGTATATTTACACATAATATACACATAATATACACATGATAATATAACAAATGATAATATAACAATGATAATCATAATGCCCTCAGTATCAGCCCGATTATAGACGCAGACTGTTTGCAGGCTCGTCCAGAGATGATGCAGGACCAGCTTCAGAAGCTGGCAGCTACGCTGCACAAGAGCAGTTTGCGGGCGTAGGAGTTTAAGGTTGAGGTGAGAGTTTTTGTGGTTCTGGGTTAATGGGTTGGGTGCATGGGATTAGGATTTATGGAGTTATTGGTTTTGGGGTTTAGGGTTTAACCTGTTTTGGGGCGAACGGCGCTCACGGAAGCCTCCCCTTCTCAAGTCGCAAACTCAGTCTACTGGATCCTCGAACATACTGATGATAGTAGTAGGAATAGTTACAGGTAATATCAAGCAGGAGGCATAACAATTAAACGAATACTAATCAAAAGAATGTCAGTACTGATATTGTTAATAACACTAAGGCGACTACTTTAAACAGCCTCTACATTCAGCTAGCCAAGCCCTTTCGACTGTGGTTCATTCTTGGAGTCCGGACCTTTACCTGAAAAGGCATAGGCTTCTAGGGTGGCCAGTTGTATATACTTCGGGAACCTGAAAAGCTTTCTTGGAGAGTCTCTGAGAGGCCTGCAGGAACCTATCCTGGAGAACAAGGCAGAGGCAGTGAAGTTATGTGTAGAGCTTCTGCAATACATCCCGCACAATCCACCCAGATCCCCAACCCTAAACCCTAAACCGGCCAGGGCATATCGATTTCATGAGGGTTCTGGGGTCAAGGCGGCGGTTTCAGTCAAGCTGCGGACGAGGCAAAACCTTCAACCCTCACGCCCTGACCATGTACAGTAAGCCCCAAAAGCCTTACAAACCCAGAAGCCCGAAACCCAAAACCCAAAAAATTCTCTAAACCCACCAAGCCCTGAACTCTAATTCAGCCTCTAAGCCTCTCTAAACCCTAAAGCCCTAAACCCCAAACCCTAAAGCTTGTAAAACGCCCTAAACACTGAGCCGCGAGGTCGCCGACTGCGTGTATGCGCGCAATATTCTAGTAGGCGCAGGGTTTGGGGGGTTTAGGGGTTTTGGGTTTAGGGGTTTTGGGTTTAAGAGTTTAGGGTTTAGGGGTTCAGGGTTTGGGCATTAGGGTTTAGGGCTTTAGGGTTTAGGGCTTGAGGGTTTAGGCATTAGGATTTAGGCATTAGGGCTCTAGGGGTTATATATGGGTTTAGGGTCTGCAATGGTTCCGATGTTGGGATTACCTGGAGGTTCATGGGTAGTTATAAGTGGGGTTATAAGTAAGGGACAAAATTAGAGCCCATTTTAGGGGAGCTTATAACTCCACTTATAGGGGATCGAGGGTTTGGAGTTTGCATGGCGGTTTGAGGTTTAGGGTTCAGAGTTGGTGGGGTTTGGGGTTTGGTATATCATGTGTCGGGTTTGTATGGTTTGGGGTTCAGGGTTTACGTTTTGGGATCTAGGGCCCGGGCTTTCCCCGAAACCGCAAAGCCAACAACCCTAAACACATATAAACACTGAACCCAAAGCCCTAAAACCCTTAAAGGAACCCTTATAGTAACCCTTATAGTACCCCTTGTAGAGCCCTCATAGAACCCTTATAGTAACCCTGAGCTGGTCTACAGTTGGGGCCAGGTTGGTAAGGTCGTCGGTGTCGGTTTCGGTGTGGAGTTGTGGCTTGTTTCTGGCTTTGGTTGTCTAATGCTTCTGGTCCTAACCAGGGCCTGAGTAGTTGCCCAAAATTTTGGGGCTCCGTACTCTGACTTTACCATCATACACCCCGAAAACCGTCTTGAAAATGCAAGGCCCCAACGTGTTCTCTGATTTTTTGGCCTAAACCCTAAACTCTAAACCCTAAACCCTATCCTGAAGCCCCAAAAAAACCTATCCTGAACAATAAGCGATAAACCCCTAAACTCTAAACCCTACTCCCTCGATTGCTGGCGCAGGTCACTTGGATGCACTTGCCAAGCCACTGCCAGCCGGACCTGCCCTCTGGTATTTCAGGAGTAACGTTTTTCTTCATTCTACCCGGAGACTTCTAATATCCCTTAAGTAAGGAATATTCTTGACATGATGGTAGGGCCCTTAATAATATGATTCAGGGAAAATTCCGGAATTAAGGGATGCTGGGGTCTTTGGGTAGGCCTTTGGGTTTCGGATGTAGGGTTTACTATAGGGCTTGGGGCTTAGATTTAGAACGCTCCTTATCTTACCGAGAGGAATATTGAGATAAAGGGTGCCGGAGATATTTGGCAACTGATCAGGTTCAATCGACGGCCTTGCCACTTCGCTGCACACCAGACGCCGGGCTGAGGAGGGCCTAAAAAAATCGGAGCACGGATCCCTAAACCGCGAACCCTAAGCCCCAAAATCCAAGCCTTAAGCCCTAATCATTAATCGCTAAACCCGGAACCCTGGCCCTAAACCCTTAAACCCGAAACCCCTAGCCCTAACACCTGAAAAAAACAAGGCCGGAAGCCCCATAACCGCCATAGAACACCACAGAAGGAAGCCTTTGCCCTAAACTACCTGAATGTAGTGCCGCTGTAGGTTGAAATCAAGGCCGGAAAACATTTATATAATCATAAATAAAGACATAAAGCTGAATATACACATCATATATATATATATATATATATATATGAGCATAGAAATGTATGTATATGTATAAACATGTGTGTATATATATATATATATATATATATGCAGACATGTCTATATAACCGTTTACTCATGTAGAAGGGGAGCATACAGACAGGTAGGTTCGGGTAGTTCCCAGTAGACCCTGGACTCTAACATAGGGGCCTCAACAATTACCAATACTATTTTGGGGGTTCCAAAATACGATTACAGGCCCCGAAACCCTATTCTAATCATTAAGGCCTCTACATTCTAGTACCCATATAGAACCCTGCTAGTAACCCTCAAAGGACCCCTTTAAAGGAACCCTATTCTTATCATTAAGGCCCCTATGTTAGCACCCTTTTGTCACTGCCCTGTGTTTTTGGGTTCTAACGTCTGATGATATAAATCCTGCATTACCCATAACAAGGAGTATATGGGAATTATGAAATATTCCTCATTATGGGTCATGCAGGATTTATATCATCAACCCTAAACCCTAAACCCTAAACCCCCTATAGATCCCTTAAAGGAGCCCCTTAAAGGTACCCTTCTAGATCCCTTTAAAGGAACCCTAGGATTTATATCATCAACAGTAACCGCAACCAAAGAGCCGGTTGCCTGCTACATTCCAGGGTCTAAAGTAGAGCCCAGAAAGTTGGGAACGTCATTATCCTCACACCCTTCAGGTAAAGTATAGGGAATCCCCAGCATGAATCCTCCTAAAGCCATGTTCCAACTTTCTGGCTTCTGCTGTAGGTGGAGCCCCAAGGGCCCAAAGGACCCAATAATGAACGGAACAGTTTGTCGGGAGATTCTCGGGCTTTTGTCGGGACTTCAGGGATTGGTCTAGGTTATGTAAGCCCAGGGTTTCGGGCTTATAACCCCAAGGGTCCAAACCACCCAATAATTAGGTACTCGGTTTTAGGATAGTAGTTATGTAGGTTAGGATTTTGGAGAGTATGTGATTATTAGGTACTTGGACCCTTGCGGGAGGCCTCTGGCTAAGAACACTTGCATATGATGAGGGCCATAGATATGTATACATTAGTATACATCTTCATTAAACCAGCAATGCGAAAACGTAGAAACCCTAGCATGCTCTTATGGCAGTTTCCGAAAATTAGGGGACCCTAGTGCAGTGCCCTAAATAGTAGGGTAAGGACCCCAAAATACGGTACCCCTAATTTCGGGAAATTCCCTCATGGCGCGGCATGAGTTCATCTTGAGGCTCTTTGCACCCTTGAAGAAGAAGTCTTCTGGCCGCCCTGAGTGAAGACGCCGGGGCGGATTCAGGGTTTCGCTTGTTATCATAAGCATATGTAGGAATGGTATTAGGCATTGGGCTTTGGCTTAGTATGAAAAAGGTGGTCCAGATCATTCATGTTCGGATTTAGGTCCGTTTAGGGCGTTTCCGGCCCTAACAACTTTTACCGAGAAGCAGTAAATTCGGAATGCGGCAAGGCATCCACAGACGCACCAAGTGGGTAGTGGGCCATGTCTCCTCAACCGCGTCTTCGGTCGAAGTGTGTAGTGTTTCAAAGTTAGTGCTTGATAGACAAATTGGTAAGCAGGTAGTCAGATGGACAATTACATACTTTGGGAGACCGGCAGATCTTGTTATAGGTCTGTGCACTGACTGTTTGCTAAACTTTGATTGTCGACAAGCCAGGATGTAGTACTCATGCGGGAGGCTCTCTAAGTTAGGATCCCTTTTTAGAATCCATTTCTTTTCATACGGGTGCCATACTATTTGGGGGACCTAAGAAGGGACCATGATCTAGAGAACCACGCATTGCAGGATTCAGATTTGTACTTCCACAGCCTTTCGAACAGTGAAGCTCCCCAAGGCTCTCTGAGGAAGTATTCATATTATAATCTTAGATTTTGGGGTGTAGGGCTTTTTATCATACAAACCCAAAGAGCTAAACTATGAGCACTCTTCTCATTAATTGGGGCTCCGGGGAGCAATGAGTCATACTCTTCTTTGCAGCTCCTCACGAAAAAGAACCTACAGCGTACGATACCCCAATTATGGACACCTTCCCGGAACCCTTAACCCAAAACCGGTTGACGTGGGGTGTCTGCCAAACCCTCATAACCCTTCATGCCCCTAAACCCTAACCCGCCGCACCCCCCAACAAGAAGAGTAGATGAGGCTGTTGTAAATCCTCAGCGCCGTTTAGGGTTTAGGGTCTCCACAGACGGACAGACACTGTAGAATATCCAGCAAAAGGAAATGCTAGACTGAAAACCCATATTCTAAACCCTACACCCTAAACCCCTAAACCCCTAAACCCTAAACCCTAAACCCCTAAACCCCTAAACCCCCTATGCCCTAAACCCTAAACCCCTAAACCCTAAGCCCTAAACCCTAAACCCTAAACCCTAAACCCCTAAGCCCTAAGCCCTAAACCCTAAACCCCTAAGCCCTAAAGCCCCCCGACCCCGACCCGGTTGAGCAGACCCTCTGGCTCTTGCCACTGGGACAACAGTTTTGCCATCCTTAAGGACGAAATGAACCTCAAAAGGGTTTTAAG